TAGATAGATAGATAGATAGATAGATAGATAGATAGATAGATAGATAGATAGATAGATAGATAGATAGATAGATAGATAGATAGATAGATAGATAGAGCTTGGATGAGCAACAAAATCCTGTGTTTGTATTACAACTTGCCTCCTCAAGTCTGTGTCACTAGGAAACCTTCAAAATGTGTCATTTTGTTGATTGCCAAATAACGTCAGCTATGATGACAAAATATTATAAATGACTAAATAACCAAAACCATTGTTCAGTCTTAAAAAGGTAATCCTACAAGATCTGCCTCAATACTGCATCGATTAATGCACAAAATACGAGCATTTGCTGCCTTGATGCTGCCCGGCGTGAGGGCTGACCCATCCAACATGGCGGTGACGCAAGGTGCACGTCTTGAGGCGTCTATCCGTGATATGAGAGTCAGACTGCCGAAGTTCGCAGTCGGACTTTGCTGTAGCTGCTGCGTAGCGACTGACAAGCACAAACACGTACTTTTAGCTCTCCGGGACCTAGGTAGAACTTGCACAGTTTAACAGGAGCTTAGTGAATGAATTAAAAATGTTTTCCATGTCTACGACAGTCCAGCCACAGGTAAGTAATATCAGGCCAAGCTAGCATTAGCATCGTTCATGTTTTTCGACCTCGTTAGTTTTATTTTTTCTAGTTCAGCCTCACCTTCTATAACCAAACACTTAAATACCTTTGTTATATTTATGTGAGTGAGTATTTTGTCTTAATTTATTCTTAATTGTGGCTGTCTAAATGTGTTTAATAGTGCCTAATCAATTTTAGGATGTAACTGTTATTGAACACGTTTTTGTATTTAGTGCAAACGACACACAGATTCTCGTAGCACCACCTGTCATCTCTTGCAGCCCCATCTGATTTGTAATTACACCAACAGTGTCTGCTGTAGATGGTCACTTCTTGAATATTTGTGGCCACAGGTGACTCTTCCTCTTAGCCACCTCATTAACATCCTCCACCCTCTGAAGAGCTCAGTGGGAAGCAGCAGCAGTGCCACCTGCACATCAAGGAAACACAAGGAACACGCCTCGGACTCAGATCTGCAGCGTACAGAGGTACTTGTTAGGAATGCAATATACAGATGCAGTTGCACCAACTCATCTCGTTTCTTATGTGGAAACTTCAAAACATTTATCTCAGTTAACAATCTTTACTTGTGCTTTCGCAGTATTTTGAACGTTTGGCTGCAACCACATAGATCATCTTTAAAATCAACATAGAAGCTGTAAATGCTTTAATGTTGCTATATTCCTAATGTGTGATTTATATACATTTATCAGCACTGAAATCTTCAATAAATCTGATGGACTTGTAACACAGTTTACTGCTATGTATGTATGTCTGCACAGTCCACGTGGAGCCTACGAGAGTTTGGTTTCTCTGACTTGGGAAAACAGCAGCTGGATGAGTTGGTGAACCATGTTTTACCACGTTTGAGCCCGGACAATGTTGCCCTACCGCCTGGTGGTCAGACTACATGGAGGACCTCGTATCTCTCCTCCCACTCCTTTTTCCACAACAAACACGGTGAGAAGAAGGCAATTTGTTTGTAGAAGAAACTGGAGTGTGTGATTAGTTTCACGCAGGGATCTTTGGGTAGGGCTGCAACGGTTAATCGACGACTAATCGATTATTAAAATAATCGATGACTAATTTAATAATCGATTAATCTTTTTTTTTGTTCTTTACTTTGTTTTTCTCTCCAAACTGCTTTGACACCTTCCACTGCCACATCTGCCTTTCTGTCCT